GGAGTGGGCGTTGGGGCTCCAGGATAGAGGACTTAGGTTTGACCCTTCAGGCACAGTAGAGGTTAAGACAGTGAGTGTCCTATTGGGAAGTAACCATATTTAGTGTGACCAGCCTATCTCTGACCCTGGGTTTCTGTAGCATTTTCACATAGATAGATACCATGTCAACAAAAGGGACTTCAGCCTGGGGACCCATCTACTTACCCTGCCCAAAATCCAGGACTTCAGGGACCTGCCCCCAGAGAAGCCCCATAGTACTTTGGAGTTGAGGGTGGGATGCCCCTTGTGTGGAGTTGTGGGAGGGCTCCTTCCACAGCTGTCTCCTGCCTGCAGTGCTGTGAAGCCATCTACTCCAGTGTGTCCGGCCTCAAGGCCCATCTTGCCAGCTGCAGCAAGGTCAGTCCTGGGATTCCCCCAACAGCTGGGTGGGGCACTGAACATTTACCTGTATAGGTGTCAGATCCCTACCCTGTCCACTGCAAATGCTCTCAGAGACTAGGAGGTCCTCAACAGGGGGCCCAGAATCCCTCTCTGTTCCCTACTTTAGTTGTTTGGTTCCAGATCCTGCTCTGGATTCTCCTTATGTGGTAGAAGTGTTCATCCTGACCTGAGCAGAGGGCGCACTTGACTTGAGATGAGGACATTCACCAAAGGACTTTGACCTATCCCTACAGCACTTGCCTCATCCCATCCTCCTTATTTCCTACTCTTGTGGTTTAATAATCCTATTGCAGGGTAGTGTTTCAGTCCCTAAACCCACCATTGACACACACCCAAGAAGACAGTACAGCTTCTCTCTAGTTGACCCCAGTCCTAACCTTTTAGCAGCAGGATAAGGGCTTGGACCAGATGTGGGTGCTTTGAATCTTCCGAAGGTTGGGTACTGGACCACTGTGCATTGCAGGGGGACCATCTGGTGGGGAAGTACCGCTGCCTGCTATGTCCCAAAGAGTTCAGCTCTGAGAGTGGTGTCAAGTACCACATCCTTAAGACCCATGCAGAGGTATGAAAGTTATCCATGCTTGTAGGCCTGGAGACTGGCCTTGGGGGTGGGTTGTAGAGAACAGGTGGCTCAGATGGTGTACACTGAGAAATCTGGTGTCCTCTCAAAACACAGATCACTTCCCCTGAAGTGTCAAGAGCATGGGGTAGTAAATCTTGAAGAAAAAAGAAAAAGCAAAATGCCTCATCTTGGTACCTAGCCACTGAGGGGAGTCTCCCAAGGCAGGGGAAACCCTGTCTTTAGCCACTTCTAGTAGTTGCATGCCTGATCAAAAAATAATTTAAATGGATTGGAAAAATGTATCAGTGGCTAATAGTAGTACTTCTGGATCTTCCAGAGGACCAGAGTTTGTTTCCCAGCACACATGTCAGGAGGCTCCAGCTTCCTGGCCTCCATAGGCACTTGCATTCACATGCACATACCCACATGCAGACACACACACAACAATAAAAAAATAATAATGAAAAAAAATTTAGGACTGGAGAGACAGCTCAGAGGTTAAGAGCACTGACAGTTCTTCTGAATTCAATTTCCAGCAACCGCAATGTGATTCATAGCCATCTATATAATGAGATCTGGTGCCCTTTTCTGGCATTCAGGAATATATGCAGACAGAATACTGTATACATAATAAATAAATCTTTGAAAAAAATTGACAGGGAAAGACAAAGAGTTCTGTAGCTTTGGATCAAGATCCCTAGTCTTGATTACAAATTTTCTCTTCCTAGAACTGGTTTCGAACCTCAGCTGACCCACCTCCTAAACCCAGGAACCAGGACTCCTTGATGCCTAGAAAAGAGAAGAAGAAAAGTCTGTCCGGAGGAAAGAAGCGGGGCCGCAAGCCCAAGGAACGGTCCTCTGAGGAGCCAGCATCTAAACTGCCACCTAACAGGGATGACTGGCCCCCAGGAGGCAGAGACAGGGGGGCCCGAGGCTCCACTGGGAAGAAGACTGGAGTTGGGAAGGCGCCTGAAAAGTGAGCCCAGTGCACAGGGCCTAGCCACCATGCCCAGCTTTGTCCAAATTAGGGGAGCCAGTTCGAGACCTGTCCTCCACCTCCACACACACACCCATCTGTCCAGAGGGTTGGCAAACCACTCTGATCTCCCTGAAAGTGGTCCTTCCCCCTGTTTAGGCTACTTCACATAGCTAGGTGGGGCTCCCCGGGAGTGCCAGGGGCAGCAGCAAAAGTGCAATAGGCTGGGTTGCCCCAGCCATTCCTACAAGGACATTTTTGGACCTGGCAGGATCTAGAACCTTGGCGCCAAGGGGCATGAAGTGTGCTTGAACGGCCAAATGGCCCCTATCTCCACCTCCCTCTGGCCCAGTAGGGTCCCCACTCTGACTTCCTCAAGGCCCAGACATTCCTGGTGACCCATAATTGTGGGCTGATGAGGCACCTGAGCAGCCTGGCTGCCACCACTTAGGCCTCACATTCACCCGACACTGGATCTCCAGTACTCCCAGCTACCTCCCAGGACAGACCCTGTCTAGCTACTGCCATGCTGCCCTGACAGCCACCCGGGTACCCATCTGTCCTCTCGCATCCACTTACGACCCCTTGCTTATGTTTTCTACCTCTCTGGGCCTGCTCCCCTGCTCTGTCATCCCTGCTGTGTGTCAGGCCTCACCCCACTGACTGGCGTTGTCATGGTGGAGTATGTAGCCTTCCAGGCAAGGAAAGAACTCTGTATGTTCTACCTTCAGGGAGGCCCAGACTGATAGCTACCAACCACCTCCAGCCTCTAGTTCTGTTGTTGGCACTCTAAGGGATTCCTCCTTGGGGCCACAGCCATGTGAAGCTTAGGTTGGCCAGAAGGAGCCTCTAGCCCAAGTGCGCCTATGAGAGACTGCTTATGTCTGCCATGCTGGGTGGGCCCATAAGCCCAGTTCTGTGGGAGCCCTCTTTTTTTTCCCCTGCTTTTTCTGCCCTCAGTATCTAGTGGCAGTCAGTCATTTAATACAGAAACTGAAGGATAGTGAAAGATGGGGTCTCAGCTCTAGGCTGGACCTCACCCCTTTAGGGGCCCTGAGGATAACAGGGTCTGCAGGTTGGGCAAGGCCTGGAAGAGAGATCTGGCCTCCTTGGTTCTGCTTTCTAACTCTGCCCCACCACTCTGTGAGCCATACCAGAAGAAGGCTGGAGGGGTGAGAACAGGCTTTTTTCCAGTGTGGATAGGGTTGGGCTGAGGCCTGTGTTTCTGATCCTGGATGATGTGAATTTTGATATTTGCCCGCGTGTGTCTCCTGGATGTTGTTGATGCCAGTCTTGTTGCTGTGACAAGTAGCAACCTTTTTAAAACTTTTTTTTATATATATATATATACAAAACTCAAAATTTTTATGTTTTGGTGCTAAGGGTTTCCTGGTGCCGAAGGTAGAGCTGAGCTATAGTACTAACTGGCACCTGCCCCTTAACCTCAAGGAGGAGGGGTGCCAAGGAGATTTGGGATGGAATCCTTGTACACTCCAGTCTAGGAAGGCTCTGACTCTGGGCGGCCCTGGCATGCTATGCTGGGGTTGTCTAATGGACTCTTCAGTTCCTATACACCTTTGCCATGATGAGAGGGTGGCCGCAGAGGTGGGTAAATGGGTAGGCTGGGACTTCCGGGTGGTGGTGTGCAATTGTGGAGGGGATTGGGGCCCAAGTGCACTTTCACTACACTTCCGTGGGGTGTGACCATCCACCCCAGCCTCTCAGGTACCTGGGTTTGCTGGGGGCTGTTTTCCAGGACATGCCTCAAAGCCCAGATGTAGGCTTTGATATGGGACTTGGGGTTCTGGTAACTTGATGTTTAGCACTTTAACTCCTTTGTCTTTGAGGTGGGTTTGGGGGCAGCTGTCATGTGGCAGTTGGGTAGGTACCAGCTAGTGGTGCCTGGTAAGGGATTTTGGCAAGCTAGTCAGTCCATAAAGCTCTCTTCCAAGGTGGTAAGGCCCTCCCTGGGCAGGGTTCATCAGTTTGCCCACCTCCCTACTCTTGCCTAAAGATAACCACCAGCCTACACAGACCCTCAGTAAGAGGGGACCATCATGGCAGATCTCCAGGAGATGGTGGGCTTGGACTTAGAGGCCCAAACAAACCCGGTCCTTGGCAAAATGCAAAAGTCAGGGTCTCTACAGATCTACCTCTGGCTCAAAACAAAACAAAACAAAAAAACCCAGAAAAGTGCCAAGGGCAGACATTTCATGCAGAACCAGGGTGCACTTTATGTTCCTATACAGGCAGATATTGGTGCCTCCTGGGGACTTTGGGGCCTTCCTGTCCCTATGGTGGATCTGAGTGGAGAGTAGTTCCTGTGTTCCCCTGCTGGGTGGAACCCAGGCCCTTTGCCCTGGAGGCCTGGTTTCCCAGGTCATCTCTCATACCTGACTGCAGCGCCTCCTAAACTTTGGGTTCCTTGGTTTGGTTTTAATGCAGTTTTCATTACACAAGTGCATTTCTGGCTATCACTTGTAACCATAGATAATACATGCATATATATTCTATCTACAAAGTGTTTTATTTGCAAGATGTTTTGAGGTGAGCTTGGGTCCTGCCCGCCTTGTGATCATCTGTCCCCATCCTCATCCCCTGGCCCGGAGTGGTGCGGTGGTGGGCCGTCAACTGTATGTATTAAAATTACTGTATCAAATAAATGTTTATTGATTTTTTTTTTCCAGGGCTTTTGTGCGGCTGAGTTTGTGTTGAGGCCGGGGCCCTTCCCTAGGCTTGCCGCATGGCCTTGTGGGGCTCGTAGTCCGTAGCGTGCCAGACTTCCTGCGCGCTTCCCTGGCCTCCGCCAGGTTCGGGACGCCATGGCTGCGCCGCCGGCGTCCGCGGACGCTGCCCCTTCGCCCCTACAATCCGCTGTGGCCCCAGACGTGCCTGGCCGCTCGGCCGAGCAAACTGAGACCACGTGTGAGGACCGGTAGGCGTAGGCCTGGATAAGGCAGGGGCCGCGCTCGCCTCTTGGGAGGGTCAGAGCACCGGTTTGCATCCCTTCTTAAAGCCCGGGTGGTTCCGCGGTATCTCCGCAGATAGGCAGCTCGGTGTCCACAGCCGCGCGGTTCCTGGATAGGTTTTGGCGGTTCTCGGAGCCTTGGGGCCTCCTGGGCCATATGTCGGCAACCCTCTGCCTGGGAAGAAGGAGGTGGCAGGTGGCCTGGAAGGCCCCAGCAGGACGGAAGGCGGAACTGGCCCGAGCCCTTAGCTTTTGGAGGCGCGGAGAGTGGAAACCTGTTTGACCTGTGTGGCCTGGATTTGTCTCTAGCGTTTGCGTTTGCGCACTTGATTGACTCTAGGCTTTCAGGTGGGTGGGTGGGTGGGCGTGCTCGACCTTCTGAGTTCCTCGAATTTGATCTCACCAGCTCATACCCACCTGGCGGCCAGTGGTAATTGTGAATGTAGGATGGGGTGGTGATCTCCACCTGCTCGAGAGTTTGGGGGCCCTTTCGAGGCTTTCAGGAGCATGGAGATGGCTCGGCCTGATCATCACAAGTAGTAACTCCAGGCCACCGCCGCCAGGGGGTGGTGACCGCGCTTGGAACTGCGCGTGGCACCTCTTTCGGTCTGTTCCGGCTCTAGGACCTAGGAGCACCGCTTAGGGAACTGTGAGCCCGGACGACTCCAGGTCGGCAGGTGCTGAAGGTGGAAAAGGCCAATCCCGGCTAGTTCACACACTCCACGGCTTTCTAACTGGTAGCCTGAAAAACTTGGTTTGGTCTAACAAGGCTAACTTTGTGATACTTTCTAGTTCAGAATGTCTCGAAATAACCAGAAGCAAAGAGGTCATGGCCACATCCTCTGAGGGTTCTGAGGAAACACCCTGAGAAGATACAGACTGCCCTGGAAAAATAGATATTGGACTGAGATTTATAGAGAGTGGAGGGAAGCTAATGGTGCCCACCCAGAGTCTTGGGATGCAGGTGGAGGTGTGTGAGTGAAGGCTTAAAGTGTGGCAAGTGGGCCGTGGAAGCCTCTAATCTCCCAGTCGTGCGTCTGTCTTGTGATTGTGGCCTTGGTGACTATCTCTGAGCCATTCCCTGCCTCTTGCAGGCCTTCTGTAGAAGCACCAGAAGGGGTAGCTTGACTATAGATCTAGTGACGGCAGGGGAACCTTGAGACCTTTCTTAGTCCTTTGGTGGTCCAAGTGATGAGCTGTCCTCTCTTCAGACTCCGCTGTAGACATTTGATTCCGGTTTCTCAGACATAGGGAAATGCAAATTATTTTTATTTTTTTTAAAAGGGAGGCAGGTTTCAAATTACTCCCCTCCCCCAAGATTTATTTAGTATGTATACAGTGTTCTGCCTGAAGAGAGTTGGGAATTGAACTCAGGACCTCTGGAAGACTAGCCAGTGCTCTTAACCATCTCTCCAGCCCCTGGGAATGCAAATTATAAGACAGCTCTCTTTCCATGATGTCGTCATATGTAGGTTCCTTATCAATGAGGTCCTCAGTAACCCCTATTTCCTTGATAAGGATAGAGGACTGCAGCAACTCCCTGGTGAGTGATGGCATCTGAGCCATAGTTGACAGAGCTGTCACCTAGTGGGTAGCCAGGGGGAAATGAAGACTGAGTAGCAGCTTCCAACACTACTTCCTACCTCAGACAACCCTGAGACCTAAAATGGAAGCCTAAAAGGAGGAAACCTCAGGGGCCAGAGTTATTAGTCAGGTAGCCCGGTATATCCTAGGTTAAGATGAAGTTCAGGGGTCAGGGTCTGATGTTCTGGGGCCAAATCTAGTCAATCAATAGGTAGTGCGGGATCTATTCTGTTAACAGTAACAAACCTGGAATTAGTCCTGTCCTTTCTGAGACCAGCATGGTGTTAGCTTCCCACAGACCTGTGGCCCGTTTTTCTACTCCCCAATCCTCATCTGATGGAGTACTCAAAGAACATGACAGGATTCTCTGTTGTGATCAGCCCGCCAAACTTGTGAATGGATTCCCTAGGACCCCTTGACTCTGCATCCCTGTCCAGAACAACGTCAGCCTCCCAGAGCAATCCTAGGGCATATCCAGCCAACCACCTGAGAGTGGAGGCGGAGGGACCAACTCTAAACACGCACACGTACATGTTAACATACATAGGCTCCAGTCCTGTTCCAGTAGGGATGTAGACATAGCCATAAATTACCTATATAGTGAGAAGAGCTGCCTCCAAGGTGCTCCCAGAGTGGCTCCTTTTCAGGTGTGTGAAGTCCACTTGGAAACTTCCTTTTTCCTGAGCACCTACCAGACTGTCTTTGTGCTAGAGGCCAGCCAGGTAGGATGAGGTTGCAGTAAGGCCAACCCACCCGTGGAAGAGAACGCCAAGACCAGCAGAACTTCTCTGATTAGATCTTAAGTCAGTAAAGATTTCAGCTGAGGCTGGGACTAAATCTTCCCTTTCTCTCTATGCTGTGGGCATGAAGGTGGCAGTTTCCCTGCTGACTGATGAGGCCTGGGTGACCATAGGACTTGCTGGAGCCTCTGTAAGGTGGGGGTGGCACAGTTATTCTTGGATGTACTAGGGTAGAGTTTCAGATTTGTTTATCATTGTAGGAGGCACCTTGAGGCCAGGGGAGAGGCAACCAACTCAGCATTGACATTCATCCTGATATGGAGGGGCCTCAGATTTCCTTGTCTCCCTGTGTATGCATTCAGGGCACAACTGTATTTCTTCCAGAAAATTTGGGGGAAAGGTACTAGAGTACAGTGGGCCTTCACAAGTCCAGCTAATGAGCGTACTAGCTAACACTGAAATACACTTCACACCAACTGGTCTGAGGATTGTGCAGGCCAGAGTCAGTACTATTAATATCTGGTACATGAGCCCTAACAGGATGATCCTCTTATACATGTGGCCTTGGCCTCTGAGACTAACATTGTGTTCCCTTAGTGCAGTAGGGCTCCTGGGGCTACCTAGCTGCTGTGCCCCACCCCTTGTATATAGTAAGATACTGCTGCCAGACTAGGGGTCCAATACCACCTAGCTCTTCTGCTGTGCTGTCCACAGGAGTGATTCCACCCATGGAGAACTAGTTCAGGTGGCCAGAAATCCCAAGCTGTCCTTGGGGACAACAGTAGTTCTCAGAGGGAGTGATACTCTCACTGCTAGCACCTAAACCACACATACTTGGGCCATCCCACTGTCCAGGGACACCCACCTCTGAGCCCTCTGTACCTACCTGCATCCTTGGCAATGAGCAGCCCCCCAGCTTACCCTGGCATCAGGATTTCAGGGTGCTGGACTCTTGGAACAGAAGGCAGGTGAGTTGCAGCAGAATCCCTGCTGATGAGAACCCTGCTTCCCAATGATACTGACCGCTCCTGACTTGTGTGATGCATTTCCATGGATATCTGAAAACAAACCAGCCAGCAGGGAGCTGAACAGTGCTCAGGGCTGCCGATATGGCAGGTTTGGGGTTGTGGGTTGTGGTAGTGTCTTGCATTCGCTGTGTCTCTTAATTCTGTTGGTACAAATGAACTTTTGTTGTTGAGGTCAGAAATCCCTTTGTCTGTCTGTGGATAAGAGATGGAGTATTTTGTGCTGCTTTCCCATCAAGAGGCACCTTTTATGAGAAATGGATGATACCTTATCTCTGGCTCCACGAGACAGCTATTAACTTTGAGGAGGTCAGGGGGGCTGGGCTATGTACAGACATAGCATGAGGCAGATTTCTGGCCAAGTTCTCCATGATCTGCTTGCACCTGGGCACTGTGCCCATCAGCAGCACAAGCCTTGGAAGGGATCTTCACCAGGAACTTAAATTTCCCCAGGGAAGCTGGTACTTTGAAAATCAGGGAGATCAGGAGCAGCCCCGGTGTGTTACCTCCTTTGCTCAATTTCTGTCTGAATATCTTGGCTTTGTGTGTACTTGTGTTTGCCAGTGATGTCCAGGGCACAGCCTACAGGCAGGCAGTACTAGGAGTTTTATCAGGTTGTTCAGCTCTCTTGCAAGTCAGATGCTATGCCTTGGGGTGAGTAGTTTCCTCCCAAAAGCTGAGGACAGCTCCCTGAGGAAGGTGGAGGAGGCCCAGTGGGGAGACAGAACCTGAATTTGATTTTTGTTTACTGTGGCCTCCCAGAACTACCCTGTGTACTGTGGTCATGTTGCCCCTAGAGACCCTAGGGAATCTCTGCCCTTTCCTCTGGCTGGGGCCCCCCAGCTCTTGCCCAGTGGAAAGGAAAGCCCAGTAGATAAGCTTCCCAGATCCGTTTGTTTACGTGGATGGATTAGCATGTTCAGGTGAGCAACCAGTTACTGTCTGGGGACCTGGGGACCTCATTGTCTGGGTTTACAGTTGTCTCCCTTTCTGTCTGAGCCATTCAGGCAGGCCTGAGTTAGGATGCAGGTGATGCCCCTTCAGTAAGCTCGTCATTCCATGTCCTGTGCCCCTTACATGCTATCCGTCCCTAAGACCCCTGACTGGCAGACTCAGGTCTCAGTATTCAGATGTGTTGTTTATACCTAGCTCCATGCTCTCCGCCCCTGCACTTGTCTCCAGAGCAGTGGAGGTGAGGCTGAACTTAACGGACTGACTAATTATTCCCTGTGCTCATTCTCTGAGCTCTGGTACGGATGGATGGTATAGAAACAAGCAGGCCTTGTTTCTTGTCTCTGTCCCCAAGGATGAGTGCAGTGTGTTTTCCTGGCTGGATACAGATGGGTTCTTTTCACGATGCTCATTTGTGTCTATGTTGTCCTGTACCTTTCAGAGCTGCCAGGATGACCAGTTACATGTTGGGCTCTGCCTGCCCTTCACTCGTGGGCACACAGCCACAATCTTTCTGGTTCTAGGAAGGATTATCCAGCTGAGAACATCATTGTCCCCAAGCTGGGCCATCCCAGAGGTAGAAAGAAACTGTCTCGGGCCACATCCTAGTACATTAGCCAGGATACTTGTTCCCATCTGGACCTGTCAATCTGACTCATTCACCTCAGGTTTACCTGGTATTCCATACAGTGCTCTTTCTCTTGCGGTACTCCAGACTTTACAGCCACTGTAGGAGGCATCGCACAGGGAGCTAGACGGACACGTCCATCTGCCATTTCTATAGGCAGCCCTCCTACCCACCAAACACTATTGTGTATCATCAGTGGCCACAGTTCAGTTTGACCCCATATGGGTAAGACACAGCTTGCCAGGCAAAGCCACTGACCCGAGAGCCTCTTGAGAAGTTTGAAAGCTGAGACTGGGATCATTTGACCTACCCTGATTTCCTTTCAGGTAGTTGGCCAGAAAGTGCCTCTGTTAAGCATATGCCTCAGTCTCTTACTACTTTTTAAAATTTTTTAAGATTTATTTTTATTGGGGCTGGAGAGATGGCTCAGAGGGTAAGAGCACTGGCTGCTCTTTCAGAGGTCCTGAGTTCAATTCCCAGCAACCACATGGTGGCTCACAACCATCTGTAATGAGATCTGGTTCCCTCTTCTGGCAGGCAGGCATATATGCAGGAAGAACACTGTATACATAATAAATAAATTAATTAATTAATTAATTAAAGATTTATTCTTATATTATGTGGATTGATGTTTCACCTGCATGTGTATCTGTGTGAGGGTGTCAGGTCCCCTGGAACTGGAGTTACAAACAGTTGCGAGCTGCCATATGGGTGCTGGGAATTGAACCTGGGTCCTCTTGAAGAGTAGTCAGTGCTCTTAACTGCTGAGCCATCTCTCCAGCCTTCTCTTAGCACTTCTGCATCAGGCTGTACCTCAGGAAAAGCGGCAAAGTATTAGAAAGGTGATGCAGCACATTGAGCCTCTGTAGAAGCTGCTTGTCTTAGGGTTTTTACTGCTGTGAAGAGACACCACAGCAACTCTTATAAAAGAAAACTTTTAATCGGAGCTTGCTTATAGTTCAGAGATTTAGTCCATTATCGTCACGGCAGGAAACATGGGGGCAGACATGGTGCTGGAGAAGTAGCTGAGAGTTCTACATCTGGATCCACAGGCAGCAGGAAGAGAGTGAGCCAGTAGGCCTAGTTTGAACTTCTGAAACCTCAAAGCCCACCTCCAGGCACCCAGTGACATACTTTCTCCAACAAGGTTACATGTCCTCATAGCATCACTCCCTATGGGACTATGGAGGCCCTTTTTATTCAATCCACCACACTGCTCATTCTCAAATGTGAAGGCCATGGGCGGAACTGGCACCATCTGGAAGTGTAGACTAACTGCGGTATCAGCAGGGCTCTGAGTGCCCACCTAGCATGAGTGGTAGGCTATGGGTGTACAAAGTTACAGATCTGCTCTAACCTTCTTCGGGTTGCATTTCCCTCTTGCGTTCTTGGTTAGTCTTTCCTTCTCTGTCTTGGGTCACCATCTCAAACCACCACCACATAATGTGCGTACGTGTGTGCACGTACATACATCAGCCACGCAGGTGGCATTTACAGGCTGCTAGAGGTGTCTGGTTTGGGAGCACAGAAGGAGTCACACTGAAAAGTGGGTTCTTCATAGGTCTTCTAGCCTCCCTTCTTTCTTTCCGACTTTTCTTGACGGGGTGCCAGACCAGGGAAGTCCCTAGAACATATAACTTGTCACTGGCACGTGGCCAGTACATTGTACTTTCGCCTCCTGGGGCAACAACCATCCTCCAGGGCAGCAATGACTGGACTATGTTAGGGAAAGGGGCACAGCCCTTAATGGGATCTTCCTTATCCTTGAGTATTCATTTCCTGGGAATGAGGCCCTACCCACCATAATCCACAGAGGGATAGGATTGTGACTCAGAGATCGTGTCTACCCTCCTATGTCTTCTTGCACTCATTGTTGTCCCTTGTCCTCGCTATGTGGACAGTCTAAGGTTTTGTGGCCCCATTAACTCCTTGTACCAGCTACAGGTACGTTTCTTGGGCACACTCTCCCCAGTTGAGCCCATGTTGTACCTGTCCCACTTGGGCATGACCAGGGAGATTGACAACTGTTGACTGAGGCTGAGCGCATTCCTCTTCACAGCAGCAACGCAGGGTCCTTGGACAGACTCCTCCCACCAGTGGGTACTGGGCGCTCACCCCGGAAGCGCACTACCAGCCAGTGCAAGTCAGAGCCACCCCTTCTTCGTACAAGCAAACGTACCATCTACACAGCCGGGCGGCCACCGTGGTACAATGAACATGGCACACAGTCCAAGGAGGCCTTTGCCATTGGTAATAGCAGTGTGGGAAGGCACCTTGGGGATCAGTCTACATGGTCAGCCCAGTGCAAGTAATTGCAAGGTAACCTTCCACCTACAGGCTTGGGAGGAGGCAGTGCATCTGGGAAGACCACTGTCGCCAGGATGATCATTGAAGCGCTCGATGTGCCCTGGGTGGTCCTACTGTCCATGGACTCCTTCTATAAGGTGAGGCCCTGCTCATCTCCCCCATAGTACCTCCTTCCTGTGACTCCTATGTGAGGCCTATGGTCACAGGGCTTCATCATGCCCCCCTAGGTTCTGACACAGCAACAGCAGGAACAGGCTGCCTGCAACAATTTCAACTTTGACCACCCTGATGCCTTCGATTTTGATCTCATCATTTCGACCCTCAAGAAACTAAAGCAGGGCAGGAGCGTCCAAATACCCATCTATGACTTCACCACCCATAGCCGGAAAAAGGACTGGGTAGGCCCATGGTCTTGGGGCTCTTCCGGAGGCTGCAGGGGCCTGAGCTGAACATTGAAACTCCCTGGGTTCCTTTGCAGAAAACACTATATGGTGCAAATGTCATCATCTTTGAGGGTATCATGGCCTTTGCTGACAAGACACTGCTGGAGGTGAGAGTTGCTGGGAGCACCCACCCCACAGGTATTCCCTGAAACAATTCTTTCAAACACCCTGCCCCATCCCCACGGCTTGCGTGCTCTGTGCTCTCTGAACAGATTGCTCCCGATCAGATGCTTCTAGATGAACCCTCTTGGTGTCTCCTAGACATTCACAACTGTTCTGTACCATTAGCTAGCTGACCACTGCAGTAGGACGTGGCTTCTGGGGACCATAGTTTCCTTGATATGGGATGTTGAGAGCTATACATATTTCCCCTGCTCTTGAGATTCTTCCTTGTTGAAGAACAAACAAGGACTTTGCTGCAAGACCCTGGCCCAGGCCAAGAGGACTCTTACCATCTCCACATGGCAGCCCCAATCCCCACATGGCTCCTTCAGGGATCACCTATCACACGCTGACTGGAGGAAGCCACACCCTGAACTCTCAAAGCCCCACTTCTCCAGTGTTCATGGGAGGTATAATGAGTAATATGTCCATCATCCTGCCAAGTCCCAGTTCTGCCTGACTTGTCAGTTGTCTCCATTCTGTGCCCCACACCCACACGCGTCCTAATGCACACTTCCTGTGAGTGCCCCTTATATACACTAATGGTTAGTCCAGCGGGTGCCCTGTAGGCAGCTGACCCCAGTGATCATGGCCCATAGACCATGAGCTGATCATGTTGCCACTCTGGCTCTGTGGATCCTGTTCTATTTGATAGTGCCACTGGTGCCTGCCTCAACCCTGTGCACTGGCTTGTTGTCCCCACCCAGCTCCTAGACATGAAGATCTTTGTAGACACAGATTCTGATATCCGACTGGTACGGCGGCTACGCCGGGATATCAGCGAACGAGGTCGGGATATTGAGGGCGTCATTAAGCAGTACAACAAGTTTGTCAAGCCTGCCTTCGATCAGTATATCCAGCCCACCATGCGCCTGGCAGATATTGTAGTGCCCAGAGGTGAGCCCGCCAGACTTGTCTTCCTGCCAGTCAGCCAGAAGGGCCAGCAGGCTTCTGAGTTATCCTCTCTTTCTCCCCCTCCAGGGAGCGGGAACACGGTAGCCATTGACCTGATTGTGCAGCATGTTCACAGCCAGCTGGAAGAGGTGAGTCAGTCTGATAATACCCAAAGTCCCTATCTCGCTGCTGCCCCACCCCACCCCACAGCAGCCTGCGCACTCCATCCCACACATCCACTGTCCCCTACAGGTACTGACTCTCAAATGTTCTGAGCCTGCTTCCTAAACTTATTTAAATGGCCCAGCCCTCTGTGATAAGCAAGGGGACTTGGCCATGCATGAAAGGGTATACTCCTGTCCCTGCCAGCCCTGAGAGTAACAAGGGTGGGCCACTATTCACTAGTCTAGGATTACAGGCTTCAGCACTGAGTCCCATGTCTTCTCTTTCTGAGTGGGTCACTCTACAAGTGATTTTTCCCACTATAGGGCCAGCATTAGGTGGTTTATGGCTGTGCTGTGGTGTCTGGCTCTAGTTCTGCCTTGGCATTACTTCTGCAGCCCAGAGCCACGGGTCCCAGCCCAACCCGTCCCTGCTTCAGAGGTCCTTAGAAGCTGCCTCCTCCTGTAGTTTGCACACCCTGAGCTATTTCCACGTGGGGCTGTGGATGTATGTCACTGGGGTAAGGGGTAGCCTGGCTGCTTGCCCTGGTCACTGATGCATCACCCGTTCCCTTGTGTCTCCCTGTGTTGCTGCCACAGCGTGAACTCAGCGTCAGGTAAGACTCCACAACTCTGCAGATTTGGAGGCATTTCCAACATCTTCATAGAACTCCGAGTCGGCTGTCACCTAGCCAAGCAGACAGTCAGTACATACCACAGGGGTAGAGTGGTAAGCAGCGTTGCTGCTGCTCCCCTGCTGGCAGATAAGAACACTAAGGTACAAAGAAATTAAGGAATTTTTCTCAGGTTTTTTCTGTTTGGTTGGTTGGTTTGGCTTTTTTTGGGGGGGGGTTGTTTTGTAGTTTTGTTTTCTCAAGATGGGGTTTCTCTATGTAATCCTGGAATTCACTTTAGACCAGGCTGGCCTCAAACTCAGAGATCCACCTGCTTCTGCCTCTGGAATGCTGAAATTAAAGGTGCATGCCACCACCACCTGGCCTTTCTCAGGGCTATGTTTTACCTGTCCTGGCCAGATGTTTCATGGGGGCTTCTTTCCCCATACAACCTGACTTGGGGTTCAGCCACAGAGAACAAAGCTGTTCTCCTGGGCCAGCACTGCCATTCATGATCCAAGACAGGGACCACACTGACATGTCTCTGCAACCATAAAGCCCAGGCCTATACATCTAGGCTGATGTATCTTGTAAAATGAACCGTACAATGGGCCAGAGGCTCCGTTGACTCTCCCTGAAGAGTGGGGAGGGTTTGGCTCTGCCTTCTCCACCTAGGCCCTGCCCTATCCTAGCTTAGCCTTGAAGCTGTAGCACAACTCAGGCAGAAGGAGCAATTGCCGCATGAAGCTGGGATAGGCTGCTATGCCGTTATCATCCACTGCTGATCAAAGCCCAGGCAAGAGTCATAGGTAGCACCAGGGACCTACCCTTCTTCCAGGCTTTCCTCAGGGTTGGGAAGATCCAGGTGAGCCTCTGTGTCCCACTGGATGCCCCAGGAGTTCTAAGCCAGTGTTGGAAATGCCTCCAGGACCTTCTAAACAGCTCTGCTTCCTGTCTTTGCATGAGTCTCCACTTGGCCTCACCAAGACCAGGGTGTCACAGCCCTGTGCCCGGGCCCTTATAAAGCCTCAATTCTGAGAAAAATCTCCAGGCACAGCCAGCTCCACTTTCCATTTTTTGGTCAGCCAAGGAAGTGGCGGCTGACCCCCTTGGTCTCCTCCAACTCCAGGAAGTCACTGGTGAGCAGAAGGGAAAAACAAAACGTCTGGGTGTAGGTGGTGCTCTCCCCTCAGGCACCAAGGATGTCAGTGCCAAGACAGCTAGCTGCCAGCCTCCTGCCTCAAGTCTTCAGCCAGCTGGTGGCCCACAGGGTACCTTCTGCAGGGACTTGGCTGATCTCCCACTAAGTGTTCTTCTCTCTGTTCTTTTCCTCTTTGTAAACCTGTTTCCTGCCTTGTTCCCTCCCTGAACACGCTCTTCACCTGGCGAGCAGAGGAAGCTGCGTTGGGATATGTGAGCAGAGCAAGCTCTGATTGTGCTGCGCTGTGTGCTGCCCCACGCCCTGCACTGCTCCTGCACTTTGTACTTCAGTGACCCCTCCCTTCCAAGATCACTGTTTGTACCTTTCCCCCTAACCAGCCCTCCCTCCTGCCTCTGACAAGTCCTTGGCCCTTCTCTCTCCAGGCTTGGGTTTTGGGTGGGGTAGCCTTTGGCACTGAGCCCTCCTTGCTTTGCCCTCCCTCCTGAGGGACTGCACACTACTTGGGGGATGGATCTGAGTGGAGCTTGGCCCTACAGCTTACATGTTGCTCCCAGGAGAAGTTGGGGACAAGCTGTCCGTTTGGAGGCTGAGATCTGTTCCCACAGTAAGCTCCCTTCTTCCTTATGTCTGACCTCTCTACTTTATCTGAGTCTAGGAGGGGACACCTCATGCCTCAGCCCCTCCCCAGCATTCGCCTCACTGAGAGTGTGTTCCGTGTTCAGAATTGAGCATTCTCACTTTTGCCTGGCATTTTCGGGGACAAGGCATTTTTCTTGGGTCAGCCATAGCCAGCAGACAGCTCCCACCTTGCACACGCCCGTCCCCACAGTGATGTTCAGATGTTCTCTGGGTTAGAAAGGGACTTTTGGATAAAATATCCCAATCAATTTGTATCTCTAGGGCTGCGTTGGCCTCAGCCCACCAGTGCCATCCCCTTCCCCAGACACTGAGTGTCCTCAAGAGTACACCACAGGTACGAGGCATGCACACCATCATCAGGTAAAGGCCCATCTATGGAATGCTACCTCCAATTCTGTTCCCCCTCCCCCAAGTTCTGGTCCATCCCTTTCTAAAGCTTGCTTATTCCACCATCAGGGACAAAGAGACTAGCCGGGATGAATTCATTTTCTACTCCAAAAGATTGATGCGGCTGCTTATTGAACATGCACTGTCCTTCCTACCCTTCCAGGTGTGGGTTTGTGGGAGAATGGGTGGAAGGTGTCCTGCCATCCTGGTGTGGGCTTATGATGGGGGATGCTCAGCTCTGGCTGTTCATAGATACCCCACCTCACTATGTAGGACTGCACTGTACAGACCCCACAGGGGCAGGACTACGTGGGAAAGTGCTATGCTGGAAAGCAGGTAAGGGCAGTAGCTGCTGGGGTAGGAGGCTATGGGCTGGAGGCATCCTGCTTACAGGTCATTCAACCTTTATTCCCTGCTAGATCACTGGCGTGTCCATTCTGCGTGCAGGGGAAACCATGGAGCCTGCACTGCGTGCCGTGTGCAAGGATGTGCGCATCGGCACTATCCTCATCCAGACCAACCAGCTCACAGGGGAGCCTGAGGTGTCCAGCCAGGGAGGGCTGGGAAGGGTGTTACAGTGATGCCCAGCCTGTGGGGGAGAGTGGGGGCCCTACTCTGACCTTACTATCATTTACAGCTTCACTACCTAAGACTTCCCAAGGATATTAGTGATGATCACGTGATCCTGATGGACTGCACAGTATCCACAGGTGCGGCAGCCATGATGGCTGTACGTGTGCTCCTGGTAAGTGGACCTGGATGGGCTGCAGGTGGGTTCCCTTGGTGTTGGAACTTATCCTGTTCCCATGCTACACAGGACCATGATGTGCCCGAAGACAAGATCTTCTTGCTATCCCTGCTCATGGCAGAGATGGGTGTGCACTCTGTGGCCTATGCGTTTCCACGTGTGAGAATTATCACCACAGCGGTGGACAAGCGTGTCAATGACCTTTTCCGTATCATCCCAGGCATCGGTGAGGCTATCATAGTCCAGGGGCATGGCTGATGATCTAGGAGGACCCAGTCACACAAGGCCATTTCTTTTTGCAGGGAATTTTGGCGATCGCTACTTTGGGACAGATGCAGTTCCTGATGGCAGTGATGAGGAAGAGACAGCCTCTGTGGGTTAGTTCCCAGTCTGAGCTACTCTCATTTCTATCCAGCCTCTTGGCCTGGAATTGCAGAGACAACACATTAACTTATTTGAATTTAAAAATGTTACCAATTATACTCAGTTTACAAAATAAGCTTTAGAAAAATGAAGGCATAGCAGAATGTATTCTGGGTGGGCTGAGGCACTGAGGCAGTCTCCCCAAGGTGTTTGTAGTAGTTTGAATAGATTCATGTGTTTGAAGGCTTAGCCCACAGGGAGTGGCAATATTAGGTGTGGCCTTGTTGGAGAATGTGTATCACCGTGGGGGGGTGGGCTTTGAGATCTCATATATGCTCAAGCCACGCCTAGTACACAGGCTCCTTCTGCTGCCTGCAGAACAAGATGTAGAACTCTCAGCTTCTTCTCCAGCACCATGTCTGCCTGCTTGCTGCCCTGTTTCCCGCCATGATGATAATGGACTAAACTTCTGAACTGTAAGCTAGCCTCAATTAAATGGTTTCCTTTATGAGTTGCCATGGTCATGGTCTCTTCACAGCAATAGAAACCCTAAGAAGTTGAGAATGAAGTGAAAGGTCCAGCTTCTGTCTGAGGGACAAGGTATTCTTACCCCTGCATCCTGCTTTCCTTACGATGATTGATGATTGAAGCTCATTCATTCACTGCCAGATGGAGATAAGGGAAGTAGAGTCTCCAAATGAACCACACAGCTCGATACCCACCTGACTTAGACCCAGAGACAGGGCGACCTAAGATTCTGAGTGTTATAGGAAGCAGCCTCTGTGGCCATTCCCTCCCAACATTTACATTACCAGAAGAAACTGGTGGGTGTGGGCAGCTATGGCAAGGACTGAGCCATGGAAGAAAACCCAGCTTAAAGATGGTCAGAGCCTCAGGTTCTCAGAACCAAAGTCTCATGCCTGGCCCCACCTTGCTGCGACTAGACTCTAGAGGGTAAGACAAGCTTCTCTGCAAACTGTTAGGCGATGACAGACAGATGCATACTGACAGCTACTGGATATGGGCTGTGACAGGTAGGCTAGGAACTATTCAAGTTTGGTGTGTGCCTTTTTCCTACTTTAATGAAATGGGGACGGGAAGTTGCTGAGTAGAAGTGATCTTACAATGGTGGGGAGATAAGGTGAGTGGTTTGTTCAAGGGGCAGCCAAGCACTAGTGACAGAGGACCAAGCAGAGGTCAGGAGTACCTTCTCTGTAACATGGTAAGTAGACCCTATCCATGTCTACAATGGCTCATTCATTCCTGCACTTTATGCTAGGAAACTGAAGATATTCTTTCCAACCAGGTTTTCCCAGAGGAAGAATTTAGGAATACTGTGAGAACCTGGGAAGGAACCAGATCCTTCCTAGGAGGGGTCTACCCAAGTCCAACCAGGATGACTGGTTCCTGAGAACAAATCAAGCCAATATACGTATGCGTACAAAATTCAGCTGCCTTAGCAGGGATTAAAGGCATGAGGGACTAACAAGTTCTTTTCTTTATTCCAGACAAAGCATTTAGAAATGAGGTGTCAGAACTGATGAGGGGTATTCACAGCTAGATCAGAAAAATGGAAATGAGGCCTCAGCCCACTGGGGACCCAGCAGGGGATAACACCAGGTGCCATTTCAGTGCCAAATTCATGAACAGAATTAGGCAGGAATCAATACACACATCTGGTCCGCAGTGAAAACATTTATTTTTTACAACAGCTATCTTTATTTTAGGTCAACATTTAGACAGGTCGCCATGCGGAACCACCACAGCTTTCGGCTTGGCCCTTGGAGGCACACCAAAGTCAGTTGTCTGGGCTGGCAGCAGCTTGTACTCTGCTGTATCCAGACTTCAGTAAATGGGTAAAACTGCTACAGGCTTTCCATGCACTTACATACAGCTCTTAAAAATTGTCTTTAAATTAAAATTTCTTCCCCCAACTTAGCATGAGACACTTCCGTAGAAAAACCATCTCCCAGCAGCACAGCCTACGGGACACTTGACCGGGCACTGGACAGAGCCCCTGCCCAGGCGTCCTTTATGTGCACCTTGATTACTGATTTCAACAGGTGCTCATACATTGGTTTTAGTGTTTCAAGAGAGGAAAGCTTCTAGTTATGTCCTAGACCTCATATATTTGATGAACAGGTGACTTGGCATGGTCCTGAGAGATATATTTGGTATGGTCACCCTTGTGACCAACATACACAGCTGAAGCCAAACACTGGCCAGGGCCTATGCAGTGTAGTGCATCATCCAAGTACATGTACCTATATGTACACAGTAAGCTTAGGGTGCAGTGCGGTGCATCCAAGTACATGTACCTATATGTACATAGTAAGCTTAGGGTTTCCTTTGGTGTTCTGCCAAGAGACCCTACCCCTGCCCAACACTTCAAGAAACCACAGGCTGTTTTGGAGCCGACTTTTATTGTACTTGTTGCTTTGCCACCAAACAGCAGCATGACAGGCCTGCTGCATGATATATACATATACACATATGTACACACACCAACACACACCATAGCCCACACTCACAGCATGTGACAACACATACTGTGCTTGTGAGGATAGTAAAGATGTAGCTTTTGCTATTTCCATAGGAGGAAAACTGAACCAAAATAAAAGGAACAGGTCAGTGCTGAGACACATGGGTTCACAGCTCAAAACCCTGGGAAAAGAATGAGATCAGTCATGTTTTACACTGTTCACAGCTATCCCTCAATAAAAGGTGCACTGAAAGCCAAGGAAGATGGTAATGGCCCACCAGCTCTCCATACCACAGCACCTAGACTTTCCAGGGACAGCTTGAATGATGGAGACTACCAGCTGCAACAGCAGCTTCTTTGTACAAGATTTACCTGGAATAAAAGTCATGGGTCAGCAGGACAAGGGGCACTGGTATTAGTAAAACCTGGCACCTGAACATTTGAGAAGAGACTTGGCTTTATTATTCGGGAACAAACCCAGTAACCGACAACTTGGGAAAGTTTCCTGCTAACCACATTAAGCACTGGTTTCTTTTCCTAACAGGTCCCCATTGGGTGCTGGCTGTGTTAACTGAACATCAGAAGACTAGGAAGGGTTATAAACATTGCACAGAATTATCTAAAGTAATTTAAAAACACAGTCAAAAGGAAGACAAGGAAAGACCACATCATTGGGCACAAACAGAAATCTACACTCTAGCCTTGGTGAGATGGGTCCCCAGGGTTCCTCCTAAGTACTCTCTGTAGGTCAGAAGTGGTTGGGTTTCTGGTTCTTAAGGGGCATCCACTGCACTGGATGAACTTCTTTATATTTAATAGTATTTGGTCAGGAATAGTCAGGCTGATCCTAAGACTCACCAGCTATGTTTAGGTCAGGGCAAATGAAACCAAGGAGAATTTAGGTCAACTCAGCAAAACCTTGCAAGGGAGTTTGTGTTCAGGGATAGGTCAGAGAGTTCAGTGGCCTTGGCAATCACTATTATCACCTTGAAACTGTTGTACATACTGATGGTTTCAAGATCAACATGATTTACTTAGCTTTACAAATTCAAAAAGATACTAGGTTCGACCTCTGTGCTCTTACCCAACAGTACCTGGCTCACTGGGATGTAAGAGAAAGGGCCACAGAGCCCCAGGCAGGAGGATGTGCTACCAGACTGTAGCTTTCTACTCATAACCTGTTTCCTGGCCATCGTGGTGAAAGGGCACCAACACTAGGGTGATGTGAACCAGAACCCCAGATTACCCAGTGGCCTCTTCTTCCTTTGTTACAACAATAGACCCAGCAATGATTTTCTCTTCTTTTTGTTTGTTTTTTTGAGACAGGGTTTCTTTATGTAACACCCCTAGCTGTTCTAAAATTTGTTCTGTAGACCAGGCTAGCCTGGAACTCAAAAGATCCACCTGCCTCTCCTTCTGGAGTGCTAGGATTAAAGGTGTGCACCACCACCACCCCGCTAATTTCTCATTCTTCTACTAGATTTTTTTTTGAGTAGGGGTCTTAATGTATAAAGCCCAGACTGCCCTGCAACTCAAGGTCTTTCTATCTCAGCCCCCCCTAGTGCTGATTACAGGCAAGTTCCACTACATGTAGCCATAGGTCTGACGTTTACAAATTATTTCTAATTCAGTATGATAATGAATATCCCTAAAATCTTATAAAGAATAAAACGAACTTACAAACCCATAGTAAGACTTTGAAGCCAGCTTCTGGCTCATGTAGTTCTCCTGTAGGGTCAGCTGGGAACCCTGGCATCAATGTCTCCCAGAACCTGGATAGGCACCCTCAATCACTGCCAAGTTTGTCCTCACAATGCTACCTCTTCTTGCAACTTCCTGTCAACCTGATCTGATCCCTGAAGGCCCTGGTAAGCAGGGGCCAGGAGGTGGATGGTGGCTTTGGAAACATATGGTGGTTTGTCTGAGCCACTACATGAGCTTTCTCCTTCCTCTGTACTGGAAATGCGGACGGTCAGTAGCAGCCAGCAGAAGGTTCTGGAGGAACCTGGCTCACTGAAGTCTGGCACAGCGAATCCAGCTAACTGTAAAAGGGTAGGGTGGTTCAAAATCCCTGGTAATCACATTTTTCAACTCTGTACACCATGGTACCTGTGACCAAGACTGGAATACTGACTGGAGAGAAGTTCACAAAGTAATTCTGTGGCTTGCAGCTGGCATCCCAGGTCCAGTAACTGTCACCAAAGTTTCCCTAAAAGTCAACCCTTCTGAGTCAGGTGCACCACGAACCCAACATCCCAGCTCTGCCAGAGGCATCGATGATGAGAGGTGGAAGCAAAGGCAAGTGGGATGGATGGAGCTCTGGCAAGCACAGGAGGAGGTTCTGATCCTGGGCACTCACTCTCTTTATAAGCAGCTATATGCCACCCACAATTGGACTCAAAGACTTTCTGACTATGACTAAGTGGCAGGTGCTACCATTTGTGGTTCTTAAAGTCCCCCCCCACAATAAAATAAAATAAATAAAAATTAACAAGGTTGGCTTGAAGGAATGTGGAAGATGACCCAGGAATGAGGAAAGGAGGCTGTGGCCCCGTCAATCCAGCTTTTGACCTGGAAAGGTGCAGAACAGAGACAAATGATTTCCCACACACCAGCAAGGGACATGCCTCCAATGACAGGATTCCAGTCCACAAGGACACTACAGAGTGTGCTCTCCCTTTCAGAAGGGCGTACCTGCGCTCTCCACAGCAGGTCTAACACGAACGCTGTGCAAAGACTGATGCTGGTGGTGCCTGGGAGGACGGGGCCCAGCTCCCTCCTTCGCAGGTGAGATCAGAGCCATGAACTAGACCATGTCACAGGACACAGAGGCCAACATGGAGACAGATGTAGCTCCAGGTGCCTACCTGACTCCTGTAAGCACAAGGAGACAGCTGAACCTCACTGGATCCACTTGGCTTAAAACCCAAGAAAGCACTACCATCCAGTTAATTCAGCCCAGCTGTAGCACATCCACAACACAGACATTGAACATAACCCATACATGCTATTAAACAAAAGGATAAAACAGAAGAAGACCGTAGCTACACTGCTTTAAATACTGCATGCTACGCACTTCGTGTATCAAGGATTGACAGATGGGTGGGCTTAGAGGAGGTGGGAGGGGCCCTGACAAGCCACAGCAGGTCAGGTTGACGGCTGCCTCCCCATCTCAGTGACTACTGTTCATGATTCTAAGGTTGCAGTGGCCAGGTGCTGATTCATCCTCTAATCACAGCCTCTCCTGAATTTAGTTGAACCCGTCGGTGTGATAGCTGGGGTGGGAGTCAGCCGTCAGCTGGGTGGTCTCTGTGGCAGATGCTGGCTGTATGACAATCGGTGTGTCTGTAGCCTCTGAAAAGTAAGCAGGCAGTCTCATCGCACAAGGGCAGCAGCCATATTGTGTACCCACCGACATGGTCCTTGCATCACATCATTCGGCCACCTGGACAGACACTCGGGAGAGGCTACTTGCAGACCTCCACCCAACACACTTTCCTCAGGTCACACCAGCCCCCGGCCCTCCCCACCTGCCTGTCACCCTCCCCACCTTTGGTCCCTCAGATCTACGGCTACCACAGTTCATGGGCAGGAACAGCTCCCTGCACCTGCTTTACCTCAAGTGTCCACGTTCACACCTCAACAGTCCCAGATGCCACCACAAACACTCTCGGCACAGTGTCAGTGCCCTCCTGTTTGACAAGACAGTTGACACCGTTCAGGGCCAGTGCAGACTCCACCCCACACTCACAAGGTCCTGGGGTGGGCACTCACCCCTCTCATCAGACTGCAGCTGAGCCTCCAGGTCTTCAGGCGATACGTAGAACTCCGTCTCTTCACCCTCAGGTGCCTTGGGCTTGCATTTCCCACAGCAGCAGTTAAAGCAACAGCACAAACAGCAGCAGCAGTAGCAGCAGGTGAGGAGGCCACAGACAACAAACAGGGCCTGGGAAAGACAAAACCAGCACTGTACAGCCTCAAAGGCCCAGAGGCCATAACACAAGAACCTCATAGAGAAAACAGGACAAGAACTGCAGAATGAATATACAGCGAATGCTAAAGGTATCTAGCTTTCAGAAGAAGGTGTAGACAGAGTGAACTTGCAGGGTGAAGGCAGGAAAAATAGAATAATAAGTAATTTGTAAAGATGGGACTGAGCACAAGCTGCCATGAAGTTCTATTGAGTTTGCCTGCCTTTCTGAACTCAAAAAGGTTTAACTTTCTTTTCTTTTCTTCTCTTTTCTCTCTTTCTCTCTCTCTCTTTTTAATTTAGATGTTGGCCAGAGTCTAGGTATGCTTTCTCTGGTACACTGGGCTTTCTTACTCTTTCTCTGAAGTCTTGCTCACTCTGAAATGTAGCTGACTTCCATACCTACTCAAATGGCATGGCTCTCTCCCTCTTAAATTCCGATCTACAATGGATTTCTCTCTAAAACAATAAATACTGAAGACTAACCAGTAAAGGCCAAAATCATGCTTCCTAAACCTAACGGTTATGGCATAGATCACTCTGACTTTGTATATGGCTGCCAGTTGCACAGCACATAGAGGACAGCTCCAGATCAGAAACCGTGTCAAGAGAAAGGAGACACAGATCTTTCGGTGCCTGCAGTCCTACTAAGCACTAGAATCTTCGATGCCTTCAGGGTAGCAACTCACACTGACTGCCGCCCCATCCTCACCTTGGCCCACCAGCTGGAGAGTACGAAGTAGGTGTTGACGTTCTCTTCCCCAAATTGTTCGGCCACGTAGAGCCCCAGCGAGCCATACTTGTCATATATGTTTCTTTTCGTGGCATCTGTCAGGATGGCGTGGGCGTTGTTAATCTCCTTAAACTTGTCTGCAGCCTCTGGGTTATCAGGGTTCTTGTCAGGGTGGTATTTCAGGGCCAGCTTCCTGTAACCAAAACCATTTCCTGGCTCTACCTTGGTCTTACATCTCACATTCATAAATCAGAGTCCAGGGGAAGAGATGCTTACCCATTAGCATTTCAATTTTCAGCTTTCTAGAGATCTGGCTCATTAGAGTGAAAAGAAGTCTCTGTAATTTCTTTGGGGTAAGTCCCCCCCGCCCCCCACTAGGATTCATGTACAAGGGAGTCCTGAGGTACCAGGGTGGGGGCACAGCTTATAACACAGACTTCTAACTTTCAAAGGGAAATCCTACTGTCAATCCCTGGTGTCCTGACCAGCTAACTGAGTATTTGACAAACAGTGATGCAGAGGAGTGTATACTGATGACATTCTAGAACAAACAAGTAGATGACCACAGGAACACCTGAGGCGGAGATTCCCCTGCCCCCTTTAGGTTACCGTATAATATTGCACCTAAAAGCTACATTCTTCAAATCCAGTCAAATAGTCAAAACAGGATAGGAAAAAAAAGACCACGCCTGGCATGGTGGCCTTTAAAACCAGCACTTGGGAGGCAGAGGCGGACGGATCTCTGTGGGTTCAGGTTAGGCTCCAAAGCTACAGAGGAACTCTGTCTCATAAAACCAAAACCAAACCAAACCAACCAAACAAACAAAAACAAAAAACAAGAAAAACCCACAGATACCCTTTTTGCCTCTGCCTCCCAATTGTTAGGATTAAAGGCATGCACCACCATGCATGGCCAGGATAACAGTTTTAAGTTTTAGGATTAAACTACACATGCAAGAATGAAATGCAACTGTTAAAGAATCTGCCAAGAAGGCTGGAGAGATGACTCAGAGGTTAAGAGCATTGCCTGCTCTTCCAAAGGTCCTGAGTTCAATTCCTAGCAACCACATGGTGGCTCACAACCATCTGTAATGGGGTCTGGTGCCCTCTTCTGGCCTGCAGGCATATACACAGAATATTGTATACATAATAATAAAAAAAAAAGAATCTGCCAAGAAGCTGGGCATGGTAGCACTCGCCTTTGATCTAGCAGAGGCAGGCAGATATCTGAGTTCAATGTTAACCTGATCTAACCAGGGCTACACAGAGAAACCTGTCTTGGGGAAAGATGAAGAAAATAAAAGTCTGTCAAGAAAAATATGTCACGGTTCTTGGGAAAGTATACAAGAAAGCAGATGAGGATTTGTGGTTTTCCTTGGAACACAGCTGCTTACCGGTAGGACTTTTTAATGTCATCCGAGGTTGCATTCTTGTCTAGCCCAAGAACATGATATAATGATTCCCCGGAGGTAGAGAGTGAGCGCTGCCTCTGGTCAGCCATGTTAGATTAATCTACAAAGGAAGATAAACGAAAATATGGAGAAAAATTGAAAACCAGTCAGCAAGATACTCAGTGGATAAAGGTACCGCTGTCATCCTGGGAAAATAACTCCTAAGTTACACTCTGATCTCCTAAGTGTGCTGGAGTATACGTGTCCCTCTTCTACCTCACAAATAAATATGTGGGGTGAGTTTCTGAAAATTGGATATGTGTTAAATATTATAATCCCAATCACTAGAGCAAAATGCAAAAGGGCTGGGGCTCATGCAGCTTAGTGGCAGCTGACTTTCCTAGTATGCATGCACACTAGGCATCAATCAAAATTGCAAGCACACCTACACCCACACATACACACAGAGCAAAGAGGTATATAGCTACAAAGACTAAAGAAAAAAGCAAAAAATTATGCTGGATGTGCTAGTACACGCCTGTGACCCCAACTATTTGAAAGGCTGAGGCAAAAGGATCTAGTTTGAGGCCTATCCTTATGTTATTTTTTTTAGAGGCCCCCATCTTTAAAAACCTACAACAAAACCTTAAAGAAATGGAAGGAACCAATATAATATGAACAAAAGATGGACAGAGGAGGAGTGGATGGGGAGGGGGATAGATGGGAGGCAGGGGAGGGAACAAGAGGAAGGGGAAACTGGTCAGTAAGTAAAATAAGTGAAAAAATATTAATTAAATAAAAACAAAACTCAAAGGGGGGGGAGGATTGCTCATGATAAAATACATTTAATGAGCTTTTCAGAAGCCCTTCAGCAGTTACTCAAAGCAAACCCTGGAATCCGGGTCTCTGTGGTAGATGAAGAAACTGGGCCCTGAAATACAATACACGTTTAGAAGCTACTTGGCCATTTTTGTTTTCACTAAGTACTTCTTTTATTGACAAAATGACCCCTGTATCCGTTCTCAATTTCAGAAGTGTGCCCAGAGAATGGCTTGTTTGTTTGTTTTGTTTTTTCAAGACGCAGTTTCTCTGTTTAGCTTTAGACTCTGTCCTGGAAGTCTCTCTGTAGACCAGGCTAGCCTCAAATTCACAGAGATCCACCTGCCTCCCAAGTTCCGGGTTAAAGCTGTGCACCACCACCGCCTGGCTGTGTTTTGGGTTTTGAGATGTGGTTTCTCTGTGTAGCCCTGTCTGTCCTGGAACTCTGAGATTTGCCTGCCTTTGCCTCCCAAGTACTGGGATGAAAGGCGTGTACCAAGCAGCCAGGCAGTCTACAGGACAGGACAGGATTGTCACACAGAGAAACCCTGTCTCAAAAAATAAAACAAGGTGTACACCACAGCCCAATGGTGTTTGCACATGAATACTTCCACCTATCGCCAGAACACTGGTTACGAATCATCAACATCAGCCAGGTAGTGGTGGTTCCAGGACAGGATCTAAAGCTACAGAGAAACTCTCTCTCAAAAAAACCCACCAAACAATCATCTACATCCATGTTTCCTGAACTGCCATTCTTGAGATTCCAAATAAAATAGTCCTTCTTACTTTTGGAGTGTCTAGGTTTAAACTAAATGACAAAGCAGAAAGGAAAAAAAAATTGAGAAATTTAAAGAGACAAAAGTTGACGTTTTCTTTAATATATATATGTGTGTGTGTGTGTGTGTGTGTGTGTGTGTGTGTGTGTGTGTGTGTGCCCACATTCATGAGACTCTGGGTTCTTGATCCTTGGTTCCTGAAGCCAGTCTGAGCAACTAGAAGACTTGTGATTTACTTACTATCAGGCTAATGCAATGAAGTACTGAAGTTTTCATAAAAACTCAGACTAGAAACTGCACACTAGATAGAATATGAGATGGTGCTCAGGAAGGTGAATAAGGAAATACTCAAGAGACACAAGTATCTTGCTTGGAACCAATCAAAAGTTCACCTAATGCATTAAAATATTTTTAATTATGTATGTGTGCATCTATGTATAGGTGAGTGCACTGAGTACAGGTAGGTGCCTGTGGACACTAGAGGCAGTGGATCCTTTAAAGCTGGAGTTACAGATGGTTGTTAGCCACCCAGTATGGCTGTTGGGAACTCAACTTCAACAAATGAGCCTTTTCTCCATCCCAGAATCTTTATCCATCTTTTAATATAACCCTTATTTGTAACCTTCAAAGTATATTTTTGGAGACACCAGACTGAGGCTACCTACAATTCCTGAAAACAGCAAGTGGGGACAAGAAGATGAGGAGATGTACAAAAGACTGCTCAATAGCCCTCTCACATTGAGGCTGAACAAAGAATCTATTAGGAGAAAAAGAATCTCAAGAGCACATCAAAGAGACATAGATACACCCGCTCCCACTGTTAGGAACATCACAAAAATACCAAGCTAATAGACATAACACACACACAGGACCTGGCATGGACCCATGCAGGCCTGTGCTCGCCAATTCAGACTCTAGGAACCCATTTGAGCCCTGTTTAGTTGATTCAGGGGGCCATGCTTTCCTGGTGTCCTCCATCCCCTCTGACCAACTTCCTGCCAAGAAATCATAAAGGTGAATAAATGGAAAAACCGAATTGACTGAAATTGGCAAAGGGTGAGATTAAAAAAAAATCTAAAGAGCTTTATGTGTTAATAAAATTTAATTTGTAATGGAAACCTTGTCAAAGGAATGAAATTATGATATCATAACAACTGAGTAATAACTCCATCAGATAAATGCACCACATTTTCTTTATCCATTCTTCACTTGAGGGACATCGAGGTTGTTTCCACTTTCTGTCTATTATGAGTAAAGCTGCTATGAACATAGCTGAGCTGGTGTCCTTGAGGTATGAAGGAGTGTCCTTGAGGTTTATGTCCAGTAGTGATATAGCCGGATCAAGATAGATAAATTCCCAATTTTCCGAGAAACCATATTGATTTCCATAGTGGCTGTGCAAACTTGCCCTTCTAACAGCAATGGAGGACCATTCCCCGTGCTCCATATCCAATGGAGGAGTGTTCCCCGTGCTCCATATCCAACAGCATGAAGTGTCACTTGTGTTTTTGATCTTGGCCATTCTGACAGGGGTAAGATGGAGTCTCAGAATCATTCTGATTTGAATTCCCTGGATGGCTAAGGATGTTTAACATTTCCTTAAGTGTCTTTCGGTCATTTGAGATTCTTCTATTGAGAATTCTGTTTAGATGTGTACCCCATTTTTGAAATAGGATTATTTGGCCTTTTGATGTCTAATTTCTTGAGTTCTTTATATATTTTAGATATCAAATGTAGGGTTGGTGAAGATCTTTTCCCATTCTGTAGGCTACCATTTTGTCCTTTAGATAGTGCTCTTTGCAGTACGAGGCTGTGGCCTACTGGTAAGGTTCCAGTGTCTTTCTCCTTCAGCAGCTATGTGGCATTTCTCTGACCCCACCTTCTTTCTCCCTGCATTCAGTTTTCCCATCTAGTTCTATTCTACTCTTCCATAGACCAAAGCAGCTTCTTTATTTAACCAATGGTAAGAAAACATATTCACATTATACAGAGAGGAATCCCACATCACCATTTATTAATTGTTGTATAGCATGGTCTTCTTGTGGGTCTCCTAACAGTGGAAGCAGAGTCTCTGATTCTGTTGCCTGCTTCTGGGACCCTTTTTCCTACTGGAGGAGAAAGAGTGGATGGGTGAGGGCAAAGGGGAGGTGGTGGAAGAGGGACTAGAGGAAAGGAGGGAGAGGAAGAACTGTCGGGATATAAAAACAAACAAACAACAAAATAATTAAATGAAATTGTAATTTAAATATTTTAATTAGCTTTACTTTCAATTCTAGAACTGAGCAACACTGTAAACTAAAAGTTGTAAAGATGGTGTAGTCTAAGCTAGCTTTGTGTTCAGACTCCTGCTTTAGCCTTTAAAGTATTGGGATTACAGGCATGTGTCTCCTTGTCTATAAAACAATAGTTTTATAACAAAGGACTCAAAAGAAGCAGAAACAAAGGGATAGAAGCATAGAAAAATTAATTACTAGTAGATATCAGGTTATTAAGATCACTTCTATAATAAAGACTGTTATAGTCTAAGACGGGTATCCTTCTTCGATAATCCTTCCTACCTTCCACTGTCCTCCACTCCTTTCTTCCTTCTTGATGCTCTGAATTCCTCAATCAAGGATGCTTAGCATATACAAAGTGCCTTGGTTTACCTCTGAGCAAGCCAAAGCAGCCAGTCTTAGTGGGTATAACTCAAAACAGAACCAGGACAAATAGCAATACACACCCACTAGAAAGGCTTAGCCAGTTTACTCATTGTGAAGCAAGAATTGTGCCAGTTAGCACCATGAGAACACCACAGACACATCAAACTCAAGTCTTTAGACCTGTGGTGCCATATACCTCTCTACCTACTAAGCAAGACATCTTGCTGGACCTATGTAGGAATACTATAAGACAACAATAAAAAATATAGTCTAAAAATATATAAGCCAGTAAGTCAATTACTGCTATTATCAAGTATTATGTACTGTATACAATTATGTGTGTTCCATTTTCTTGCGAGAGATGTGCAATAAGTTTATTTACATCAGCATCACTATACATTCAAGAAATGTGTTGCACTGTGCTTCAATGGCCACAAATTCTAAGTCCAATATTTTACAGGACCGGCTAAACAGGTAGGATATTTCCCTAATGTAAGCAGAGTGTTTTAGTTTTTAAATGGGCCATAACAATTGCTGATAAAAATGCAAACAGTATGAATTTCTTTACATGTTGCTGGAAATGTAAAATGTACAACCACTTGAGAACATAGATTGGCAGTATCTTAAAAAATTATAACATGGGGGCTTGAAAGATGGCTCAGTGGTTAAGAGCACTGGTTGTTCTTCCAGAGGATCTGAGTTCAATTTCCAGCACCCACATGCAGCTCAAACTTTCTATATCTCCAGCTAGAGGGGATCTGATACTTTCACAGCAACACATAAAATTAAGTAAAGTATTAAAAAAAAATTAAACATGTGACAGACATGGTAGTGCACACCTTTAATCACAGCATTTGGGAGGCAGTGGCAGACGGATCTGT